AGTCTGTATCTCGATCAGAGGAGCTGACCTTTCTCGAAGGGTTTGCAAGCTTGTTCATCACTCCACACGAGCCTGAGAAAGGAGTTATTTCTGTCCTGTGGTTTTTCTAAACAGAATAATACTGTTTGAACGACTTAAGGGTACAGAAGTGGTGTACCAGAGAATTTTCTAAATACATGTGGCCATTGGTAGGTCTCATTGGCTCTTGAGCTAGATTTATGAAATGTCTTTATGAAGCTACTTTTTTTCAGTGTGACTTAACAATAACCTAAAATGCATGATCTGTTGTCTTTCTGTAAAGCAAACTGTGAATGTGAAAGAGACAAAAGGATTAGTGAAGAATACTAGCCTTCTTCCTACCTAGCTAAAAATTGTATTAAAAAGCTATGTAAATGGGGTAAAGAGACCATTTAGATTCAGACTTTGGGGCTTGGATCACCAGTTTCTACCATATGGGCAGCCACAGACTTCCCTCCCCTCAGAGTCTCCCTTCTCCCACCAGCTATTTACCAGATGCCTGTCTGAGGGATTAAGTGTTGTGTGGCAAGCTTTTTAAAAAGGTGATTAACAACCAACCATGATGCTAGAAGCTCATAAGGAATATAGTAAACTCACAGCATAATTCCTCCACGCTAGCACGGGGCACTTTCTTATTTGCACTGGGCCTTGTGTGTTGAACTAAGAAAGTAGAAGAAAATTACAAAAAGGAGGCTATAGATCTGAGGTCTTCTCCATGTCTTCCTGCAAGGCCCTTTGGACCCCCAGACCTACTTGACCCTGGAGAAAGCAAAGCATCATGCCCCTGCTCTCCACTGGCACTGGCAAGACTCATACAGTGCTTAGGCAGGGGCCACTGTGGGTGCTGGTCTGGTCCAGTAACCACTTTCAAACTCAATTTAACTTTCCCAGGGCTCTGGTTGGTGTGGGGCCAACTGAGTGGATAGGGAGAAGGGAAGAAATCCAGAAACGAGAGCAAAAGAGGAAAGGGTGGAAATTGCAACTGCTTTTTCTATTCCAGCAGCTGAGTGTGTGTGGAATTTCAGTTTGAGAACTTTGGTGCCCTTGAAAAAATCCGAGTATTTTCTCTTAGGGGTCCTAACCAACAACAGACCAGTAAGGAGTATAGATGGTGACAAACCACAGCTTTTAAGAAACAACGCCAGAGCTTCCCAAGACTTAAGCTGACCTCTGGACCTCTAGGGAAGCCATTTTGATAGAGGCAGGACAGTGAACACACGTGGGTGTGCAATTGCTCTGAGGAGCACAGACTCCTAGGAGATAGAATCCTAAGTAGACCGAGTCCCATAGGTGGGTAAGGCCCTCTTCAAAAAGTCTCTGCTTCATGCGACCCCCATTACAAGAGACTGGGGACACTTGACTCAAACGAGCTCAACCAGTTCCCCTTTCGGAAAGCCTGCCGCTTCCCCTGCTGTGGGCAGCACCAACAAACAGCATTCCATCCCTGCTCCTAGAGCTAAGACTGAGAATTGCAATCTCTGTTCAGAGCAGCCGGCAGCTTCGTCTAAGGCCTGGAGAGGCCGACTTCCTCCACTCTGGGGGTCAATCTAAGTCCCAGAGGCCTTTTTGCAAGTTTGGAAGCTTGGGGCGGGGTAGGAACGCGGGAAGGAGAGGCCAGGGTGAGGATGGATGGGCGCCATCTCTCCCGCTGAGTCTCGGCTGGCCCTGAAGCTTTGTTGCAGGACTTGACCCCCGACTAGCCCTTCCTGGCAAGGCTGACTCATTCAAGAGCCCACCCAGACCCCGAGCGCGGTCCCGGGTGTCCGTTCCCCACCCCCACCCATTCCTTTCGAGCCCGCCCTGCGCGCCCTCTGACGCAAACGCGCGCCCCTGCCCGGAGCGGGGGAGGGGGGTCGTGAGCGCTCTTGTTGGTTTTAATTGACGCTCTTCCTTTCACACACACAACCTCGGTTCCCACTCCTGGGAGGCGACCCCCTCCCCGCCCCCAGCCCGCCCAGCCCAGCGAGTGGAATCTGGCTCTACTACCTCACAGCTCTCCGCGGCTACCGAGGGTTCTATGCTTGGGAGAACTGCTGATGTCCCTTTTAATCCGCTGACAGTATCGCCCACATGAAATGGGCAGCCATCGATTGCCTTATTTTACTCGCGGCGACCTTAGCTGGTGACTGAGCGACGCTCGCGAGGTCCTGTCTGCGGCGCAACTAGACACAGGTGCCCAGGCCAGCGGGCTCCACGGCAGCGTCAGCTCCGCAAGCTGCGGGCTGGCCGCGCGGATGCTAAACTTGATGCAGTCTTGGGTCCCCTGCCCAGTAGCGTTTCCCGCTCCCAGTGTGGGAGCTTAGTGAGAGGACTTGTTTGAGGTTTGGACTGATGGGCTGGCAGGGATCCTCACCTCCAAGGAGGTGCAGTAACAAGGATGGGCGATGGTAGTTCCCGACCAGGCCTGGACGAAAGTTCTTCTGGTCCTACCTGGGCTGCCTTGACTGCTTTTCTAGGCTGCCGAGGCCGAGTAACAGATTGCCTTTCTGTCTAGCCACGTTATCGAAGGTTACAGACCCCAAGTTCCAAAGAAACGATTATCTTTGCGTTACTTGCCTGGTATGGCAGGGCTTGGCCGAGTCTCGCTTCTGGTGCCCACCGTGTAAAGTCCAGAGTCCGAGGGAGACTAGGCGGGCAGACCCTGCACCCGGTAGGCCTCCGGTTCCCGGACGCTTGCTTTTTGCTTCCTCTCCTACTGTTTTCCGACTCTTCCCGACCCCAGCCTCCCTTTCTCTGCCGCGTTCCACTGCTCACGACTCCCTGTCTCTGATTGTTTGGGAAGTAAATTTTAGAATCTCTATATAAACAGCGCGCGCTCTCCCTCTTCCTTCCTTCCTTCCTCCCTTCCTTCCTCCCTCCCTCCCTCCCTCCCTCCCTTCCTTCCTTCCTTCCTTCCTTCCTTCCTTCCTTCCTTCCTTCCTTCCTTTAAAAGAAAATCATATCAATTTCACCTTTAAAAGAACCAGGAGACTTGATCAGGAATATTAGGACTGAGAGGCTAAGGCCAGGAGCCCCTGCCACCCCGTGTCCGGCCTCTCCATCAGCTGCGTACAATGGACCGTAGCATGCAGAATGAAGTCTCCATTATTCCAAATAGAAGGGCTGTGGGGCACACATAAGAAAGTCTTTATTCTGCCCTTTAAAAAAAAATCACTGGTCACTAAGCGGTAGGTCCCAGAGACCAAGAAGGGCAAGGCGTGCACCAAACACTCAGCTCTTTCTAAAGCCCTCACTAGTGAGGTTTAAAGTGGGAATCAGTATTAAAAGCCAAACCCCACCTCTTTCTATACAGCTTGACCATTTACTTCCATCTTTACCTGGGGGCGCTCGGAACGCTTGAGCAGAGACAAACTTTCTCCCTAGTCGAGGGCTGGTAAGAGGGACTCCCACTCCCACTCCGGGTGGTGGCAGCCGCGGCTTTGTCACTCTGCCGCTCCGTGCCTGCCTGAGCTTGCCTAGGGGAGCGATCTTAAAACGAGGGGGGTGCGAGTGTGGGATTGGAGAATATGTAACTAATAGAAGTATCGTTCTCCCCAGTACGATCTTTCAAGGAAAAAAAAATCCATTGAAAGAATTTTCAAAGTGCTGTCTTCGTTTGGAGAAAAAGCTCTGGCTGCCAGTGGAGAAGGGAGGAGGGACTCGGCTGCGTGCCGCCTGGGAGCGGCTCCCGTCCGCTAGGTGGCAGGCGGACCTAGCGTTTCCTGCAAGCCCTGCGGCGGGACCCGCTCCTCCTGCCTGCCCCTCCTTTTGCGACCAATCACCTTCGGGAATGGGGTCTCAGTCACACACTCCCCAACACACACACACACACACACACACACACACACACACCACAGCGAGTGAGAGACTGTCTCTTCCTCCTCCCACTCCTCCTCCTCCGTCCCCCTCCCCCTCCTTTTCCCACTTCTCGTCTCCCCCCCCCCATCTCGCCCCTCTCCCTCTTCCCTGTCTTCTCGTTCGTTTGCTCTTTTCCTGTGACTGACTTGTCAGCACTAACAGCCGCCCCACGACAATATGAGGAGTTACTAATGCTTTATTAATAATTATTGAAGCATTGTTTGGAGTTGGAGCATCCTGGGGATAAGAATGATGAAGAAGGAAAAACAAGATTGATTGAAAAGTTTATTTTAAGATCATCTTTAAGATGAATAGGAATCATCGATTCGGATCGAATTTGTGGCAGTAGCTGCAATTTCATGCGTGTGCTTTGTCGTAATTACGCCTCCGAAACTATGATATACTTCAGATTTTTAAATGAGGTGGCTTTTCTTAATTATATACAAGAGCGGGACCCAGACTAAGATTATATTGAATGTGAACTAAGATTCTAAACCAAGTATACTTCGCAAATCATTAAAATGGTGGAGTTTTATCTTCATTAATTTTTTCTTAACGTTTTCAGTGACACTCCTTACGCTCATAAAATCTAATTTTGAAAAGTTTTCAGAAGATATACAGTAATTTCTTTCTCCTCCTTTTTTTCCATCGCAAAGCGTTCTTCTTTCATCATCCCTTCCCCCTTGTGTGTGTGTGTGTGTGTGTGTGTGTGTGTGTGTGTGTGTGTGTGT